CACACCAAAGGCTAGACCGCCCATCTCATCGCACCACGCGTTTAGTCCTTCCAACGACACTAAGAAAAGAAGTAGAAGAAATAATTAATCTGGAAGATACAGAGACGACAAAAACTTAGTACCGCAGACATCAAGAGAACAACGAGGCTAGTCTAGCAGCAGTACATAAATAAAATAAATAAATAAATAAATAAATAAATCTTTGGACAATTTCACACAGCGCCAGCTAGCCCCAAAGTAAGCAACTTAATGCTTGTGTTATGGGTGCTAGCTTGACGGATACACTACTTATATACTTTTTTTTTTTAAATACATACCATATTATACATAGTAACACCCAGACCCGTCACAGAAATTAAAATTCATCATTTCAATTTCTGCCCGGCCGGGAATCGAACCCGGGACCTCTCGGCATAGTAGTCCGTTCTGAACCACTACACCAAACGGCCGACATGAACCAAGAACAACCAAAGCCATCTCATCAAAGGCCAGACCGCCCATCTCATCGCATCAACGCTCAGTCCTATCAACGTTAACCCGTCTTTACCTATTTTCCTAGACCAGGCTCAGGATGCATATCTACTTGGTTGTGGTCGACCGGTTGCGGTTTAAAAGACGCAGCGGCTAGTCGGCCGTCCTCTCCCATCCCAGAGCGTGTCTTTCCTTAAAATCGTGCCCCCTGGTATACCGGTTTGACCGGGACAGGCCTCGTCCTGGCTGGGTCGGCACTATCGTATCGTATCGTATCGTTGATTATTGCTACTACGTATTAACATGGCCCCTTGAACTGGTTGACGCTAATTGATAAAGTATGAAAAACATTTTAGAGTATTTTTGCGAAAACATAGTATAAAAAATATAAATAACTACTTATCTATCATTGTGGCAAGGACTGGGTAAACTGGAAAATCCTCCAAACTGGTTTTCCGTCCAATATATTCAAATGTGTTTGCAAATCTTCCTTTTTCATTAAAATTCAATGCCAGTCGTTGTTTGTGTTTACCCACTGTTTAGGTTATCAATATACGGTTTCAGTTTAGCTGCTCATAATTCTAATATAAGCAGCAACTATATTTGTTTTTGACGGAAATATTAGTAGTGAACGTCTCATTTTCAATGTTCTTGTATTTTATTTTGTGTTATCCACTTAGTTTCCCTATCCCATGAGTCGAATGTAGAATTTATCAGTATTATTACTGTGTTAATTTATATTCAAATTAAATCGTTAAAAATCGGTTTGTTAGCTTATGGCAGTAAATTACCATCAATATTTCCACGAAGTATCGCATTACGGTTCTCACACGTGCGAATTTAGCAATCACATTGGTGCCTTGAGCGGATTGTGTATAACCTGATGGATTATACAACCACCATTGTTTGTGCTTTAACAAATAATCCAATTTGCCGCATTTGTATTGGTATTAATCGGATCAAAATGGTATACCATTCAGATTTCATTTCATTAATTTCTTTGGAGAATTTTACTCTGGAATACGTATGGTCTCTGAGATGGTTTTTTACTTTGTTTCGTTTGCAAGTTTAACCAACGTAGATGTTTTTAAATTTTACCGAATTCGCCTCTCGAAAGAAATCCTCTAATTATTGCTCCCTTTCAAGCCTGGTGGAAGTATTCTCTCAACGCTGGCGTAATTCAATTTCTAGCGAGCACTCGGTACGATAATGAAACATTGTTTTAAAAAACTTTTAAAATATTGAAATGACAATTTTGCCTTATTAGCCACGGCAAATTAAGAAGCATTCATGTGTGATATTTTCATGTTAAGTATATTAAAAATAGTAGTTAAAATTGGGCGCTGTCAATTAATACAAAAGTGATTTATTTGTCTTTTTTGTTGTTCCTCAATACAATATATCAATTTAATAACAGGTTTCTGATTATATTTATTAATCAAACAAACACTCAAGCTAGAGTTAGGGACTTGACTTTGTTCTTTTTCATAAAATATTTTTATGCAACATTGTCACACGTTTCCACCTTTCCACAAAACAACAGTTTCACATTGTATTGTTGATATTCAGGTATTGTAAAAAGTCCCACGTTGCGAACAAGTGTTCCCAAATCACGACGCGGGTGGCATTCTGATACCTTGGTAGAGTCTCATACCAAAAATTCTTAAAATTTCAATCAAAAACAATAGCAAGAAACACGTGTAACGTTGAGCAGGTGATCTAGTTTCTGACTACAGAATTCCATCGGTCTAACTGGTGCAACAGTTCTTACTGGTACATTGTCATGCGGTTTGCCTTGTGGTCGCGCGACTTGCTCACGTTTGAGACTTATTTCCATTTCTAATAGACTGCTGAACAAATATGTTTCTAAAAAAACATAATGTCGATGAAAGTTAGGGGTACAAACAATAAGTAAACACAGGGCATTCTCTTTTTTTTTCGTATGTATGACGGCACATCTTGGTAATGGTAAACAATGACCTCATAAACAGTAACGTTACGAGTAATTTTGCTACAAAAAGTACAGTCTGATGTACATTGTTAACTACAGAAGAATACCCCCATGAAACTATGGATTTTGAATACGAGCTTGAATGAATAGGGCTTCATTTGGTTTCATTACATTCATGCAAGTATTAAATAAGTAGAATCTCAGCTAGAATGTACAGCCAAGAAATAAAACCGACTCCAAAAAACCTACACTAAAAAGCAGAATAATAATTACTAATTATAGCCTGACCAGGAACATAAAAACCTTGGCATAGAGGCGCGTCAATTGCATTTGATAGTGCAACACTGAGTACAGTCGTACCTGTGTTAAATTAATAGGCTAACTTTATGTATCAGGATTCTGGATTACGGGCTAATTTGATATTTTCATAAATTAACGAAAAAATATTATTATAGGTAACCTGGTTTAAATAAATTAAATGAAACCATCAATCGAGTTAGTAGGATTTATTTTATTATTCGTAAATAATCAAATTCAGAACTTGAATATTCAACTGCAATGCCTGCTCATGAACGCTTCAAACTCGGTACTTCTTTCCCAATTCCATAAAATTCAACACTTAGAAAGTGACAAAAAACTTAAAAATAGGTAGTTGAAACAAACCACAGCTAATTTTCATAGTGGACTGTACTATCAGGCCTGGCTCACTCCGCGCGGTACATCCGATAATTACCTACAGCGAAGCGCCCCGCCGCACGGTGGGCTGATATTAGAGCTTCATAGACTTAGCGTCGCTCAAAAATCAAGTGCCAAATTTTGAAAAAATAAATATGCCAATGTGTTCCTTTACCAAAAAGGAATATTTTATGTTATGTAACGTTTCTTGATAAAGTTATTATTTAATAAGTTATTGACAATTTCCTTTTTTTTTGTATGGAGCTCAACATTTATTTTTATTTTATTCGTTATTCTTTTCCATAATGAATGCATACTTACCTACATACGTACCTCATTACAAATAAGTAGATTAATTATTTTTTCACTAGACAGCAACCCTAACAGCGTAAGAAGAGTTCAGAGGCACGCGATAGAAAGAGATAAAACTTGTAGGTGAATAAAATTGTAGGTACGTAGTGCTGTGCGAGCTGAATTCCACTGTATCGCGTCGTAGCAAGACTCGCATTTATTTAAATCGTCTTGCGGAGTAATCCTTCTGTACCTGTACTATTACTTATTCTGTGGTACTATACGATAAACATGTCAGTCAATTTGACAACCTTTGTCGGAAACATTATTCAATGAAAATATTGTCCAAACCCTTAGTATTTCTCTTCGACAAATACTTTAACACATTGTGAACCACTTTTCTTTCACGACTGTAAAAATATTTTAGCAATTTAATTCACACATGATTGATACTTCTGGAGTCGGTGCCAAGATTATGAAACATGTAAAGTTTGCCTGCACCGACTCCAAAAGTATCAATCATGGTATACCTACCTCGTTTCAGCCAAATGACGTCCACTGCTGGACAAAGGCCTCCCCCAAGGTTTTCCACAATGAACGGTCCTGCGCTGCCCGCATCCAGGCTAATAATTCATCTTCGAGCAGTGTGTGTTGCCAGTGTTGACATATGGATNCGATAATACAAAGAAATCTATATATATAAAAATGAAACCCGTTTCGCGTTGTCACGGCATCACGTGTGAACGGCTGAACCGATTTCGATAATTCTTTTTTTAAAATGTTTGTGGAAGTCCAAGGATGGTTCTTACGGAAAAAAATATTAAGAAAATCTCTACGCTAAGGCGGTACGAAGTTCGCCGGGTCAGCTAGTTTACAATAATTTAGTTACGTATCGCATTTTATGAAACAAAAATACATGAAAAAGCTAGGGTGGCAAACAGGTTTTTGTATGAAAGGTAAAAAAGGACTATTTTTAAAATATCTAAATATTTGGTAATAAGTAAGATTATAGCTATAATTCTTCGTTATCTTAAAGATTAATATTCATCCTTCAAAATTGTGTGTGTGTTTTTTTTGTGTGATGATTTATAAATATAAAACTTTTGAACTGTTTCAAAGCACACTTTTTTTTTTCAAAATGTACATTTTTTTTGAGAAATACTCAATTACTTTTTTTTTGTATGGAGCTCAACATTTATTTTTATTTTAGTCGTTATTCTTAATCTTTCTTAAGAAATTGCTTTTTGTATTATGTAATGCATCATATATTATAAGCTATATTATCACCAAGGGACGAATCCCGGAAACCCTCGGAACATTGTCATTTTCGACTTTAAAATAAAAAAAAAAAAAAAAAAAAAAAAAAAAAAAAAAAAAAAAAAAAAACATAAGGGTCGAATTGAGAACCTCCTCCTTTTTTTGAAGTCGGTTGATAAAAGAAGCGAATATCTTTGAGAACATAATATTAAAATTGTGAGCAAAGCTCCGCCGTTTGTTTTTTTCATAACAAATAAGAACAAAATGAAATAGAAGCCAGTAAAGCAACGCGCTCTTATTAATATTCCGTTGTATGTGTTCCTTTATGTTATAGCATTTTTTTTGTTTGTTACAGCAACTCAAAGATGAGCTCGGAGAAGTGGTTGCCGAGTTGGAGGCCTTGGACGGCCAGGAGGAGTGCAAGCAGAACAGCAAAGCCAAACAGATGAGCATAGGCAGGAAGAAATTTAATATGGACCCAAAGAAAGGTCAGTCTAAAATCACATTTAATTTTATTAGGCCAGTAGAATTAAACACAAAAATTGATTAAATCGGAAATAATTCCTACAAAAGATTTTTTTGCTTTAATGGCTTCATTGGTTGCCCATTAAGACTCTCCTAAGTTTTCGACTTCGACGGAGTTGTGCTTAAGTGGTGGGGGCCCCCGAAAGGGGCGTTTTTTCGGTTTTCCGGTTATACCGCGTAAAGGACTTACCTATCGAAAAGTGGTCTTCATGACGGTTAAAGGGCACTTAATCCTGCATTGAATAAGACCAAATTCATATGTTTTGGACAAACCGTTCTCGCGCTAAAGTTTGGCAAAGTAGAAAATATACATATAATTAATGACCCTCTCCACGTCCAATGGCTTGTTACCCACATGCTTCCAAGCCTTGTAAAGGGTCGCCTTAACCAGTGTAACCCTAACAAGGCTCACGAGTTTGATTCGCTTATCCTTGTTCGTCCCAGCCGTTCCTTAACTGCGGTTGCTGCACCTCTTCCTGGCACTCTCCTGAACGACTCTGTGTTACCTAATGTGGCTGCCCCTCTTCCTTGTACCCTCCTGTACGATTTCATTGCTTAGCCATATGCCTGGTCCAAGGTTCGACGCCACAAAATCAACTTCGTACGCGTGAAAATAGTTTAAATACTATTTCCCGTGCTTGCAACATTTTTCTTTACTGCTTCGCCTCTATTAGTCGTAGAGTGATTGTATATATCCTATAGCCTTCCTCAATGTATGAGCTATTCAACACAAAAATAATGATTTCAATCAAACTAGTAATTCTTAAGATTAGCGCGTTCAAACAAACAAACAAAAAACTCTTCAGCGTTTTAATATGAACTTGTTGTTGTTGATTTTTGGCATCGAACCTTAGACCAGGCATAAGGCTAGACAACGTAGTCATGCAGGAGGATACAAGGAAGAGGGGCAGCCACAGTAGGTAACACAGAGTCGTTCAGGTGAGTGCCAGGAAGAGGTGCAGCAACCGCAGTTAAGGAACGGCTGGGACGAACAAGGATAGGCGCATCAAGCTCGTAAGCCTTGATAGAGTTACACTGGTTGAGGTGGCCCTTTTCAAGACTTGGAAGCCTGTGGGTAACAAACCATTGGACATGGAGAGGGTCATTAATTATACGTATATTTTCTACTTTGCCGAACTTTAGCGCGAGAACGGTTTGTCCAAAACATATGAATTTGGTCTTATTCAATGCAGGATTAAGTGCCCTTCAACCGTCATGAAGACCACTTTTTGATAGGGTAAGTCCTTTACGCGGTATAACCGGAAAACCAAAAAATGCTCCTTTCGGGGGCCCCCACCACTTAAGCACAACTCCGTCGAAGTCGAAAACTTAGGAGAGTCTTAATGGGCAACCAATGAAGCCATTAAAACAATAAAATCTTTTGTAGGAATTATTTCCGATTTAAAAGCTAATTCTACTGGACTATATAGGCACAATAACGATTGGTCTTTGATGGTCAACAACTAGCATCATTATACCGAATATTCGTATTGCACTCGTACCAGCCTTGTATAAGGAAACCGTTATCTCAACATAGGTGTAATTATTATACAAATTTATTTGTGACGTGATCTCATCATCATGCTACTAACTTCTGCGTTAGTTCTATTAATAACATCCAATAACAACTCTTGTTTCTCGATAACACCTGGATTATTTATGAACCTATACATTTTCCTGTTGCACGTTTCCAAAGCTGAAATTATTGGCGTGATTTGTTAATAGTTTTCATTTTAATTGATTTAGATGCCTCATGAATTGCGTGTTTTTGTATCAAATATTTATAATAATTAAAATAATAGGGACAAATTGATTGCACTGCCCATTGCGTGGTATGGGGGCAGGTGCACCGTTCTCACGGTCGGTCGGCATGTCAGCATACACGGAAAATTGTTCTATTCCTGCACTTTTATGATTACACCTGCCCAGCCATACAACGGCCCTTGTGTGGAATCCCGTAAATTATTGCGTCCTGCGATACAATCAAGAACACACTTCATTAGTATTACTTTTACTAGGGTAATTTGCGTGTAGAGCGACCCTTGTTTGATAAAATAAGATGGTGAAATTCCTCTGATACGGAAATTTTAATTGACCGTGGTGCCTGCTCGTTCATTAACGACATTGCGACGTTTGTTTCTTTTTATTCTAGTTAATTAACGTCGCTTTGTTTGGCAAATTGTTAATTAGTGAATGTTGCTTCTCAAACGTTAGCCGTTTGAACATTAAGTAACGCAAATCTAACTTTGTTTAAAGAGTTGAAAATTTACAATGCTAAAGACCTATTGACCTCTCAGTAACTCTTCTCTACATGGCTGAAAAATGCGGATATTCAACTATTTTAAAACGAAAATGGCTGCTCGCTGACGCAAAGACCAAGACGCCTGTCTGTTTCATTTAATTTTGTTACTTTATTACGCACTAAGGCCTTGTGGTCGCCGTCCAACTGGGATGGTAGTTTGATATCTCATTTCATTTGATGCAATTTGCAATATCAATCCTTGACTGCAATCTCAATAATTTGCGGCGGTGACCTTCTTGTCGATGTATTAATATTAAACTCATTACGTGTCGTATTTGGTTATGGTAAACTTTTATTTAAGGTTAGTGACCAGTGTTAACATTATGTTGGTAGAGTGGCGTTAAATAAATACCAGCCCGCACCCATGACTGTATCGGTGACATCATAATGCTCAACATCATTCAATCTATTCGTTATGGGTCCTTTTCAATCACCAATTCTGTGAACGTGCCCACTTGCCTTATTGTGCTCGTTTGCATAGTTATTTACATAGTTCCAGCTACATTAGTAATGTTTCCGTGAGTCCAGCGGCAAATGTATGTAAAGTGGCGCTTGCGTGTTCTCACTAAGGCCGTCAACAAAGTCTTTCACACTAGGTAATTAGGTCACGAAGACAGTCGTGAAGCGCTCTGCCTGTATACCTACTTCAGCTCCGTTCCCATTCAACCACTCTCCAGAAGAACTCTCAGATCTCACTAGCTTTGTATCGCACACTCGTCGATTCCTAATGACGTCGACCTAAAGAATGTTCAAAGATCCACAACTTTCAATCGGATGAAAGTGATGAATATTTCCGTGCACGCTACCAAGATACGCTATTTCTTTTCAACAGGCTTAGACAAAGGAACCATGCTTTGGGAATAATCAAATCGTCATTCGGTTATACACATCGTGATAGTATTTCATTTCGTTACAGCCGAGCGAGGCGTGCGTGCGTGAAATAATAAATCTGTCTTAGTTTTTATGAGACCAGCTTCCACCAGGTTTTGCTATTTTATTTTATAGACTGGATTTACCTGATTCTATTTGTAACTGAGTCATCAACTTGTCACTTTATAACGGTTATGTTTGATTAACAAATTAATGAAACTTATTATGAACTTTACATTCCTCTTCGATATTAAAATATTCTCAATATTATCGGGATTCAAATTACCTTATCATAGGCATTACAAGCCCAAGGTGATATAGCATAACCCACAATTCCAAGTGTGATCGTCTGCATATGCAATAGGCATGCATAATTCAAATATTGCTCTACACCGGCACGCGACTTCGAGGGTTTCAATCCCCATGGGATATGCATAATTGCATACTTTTAAAAGTTCAACTGCGGCATTTTATAGTAAAAACTTAAAAGACGAAGCCCAATAACAGCAATGTATTATTGCTCATTAATCACGTAAGTTCACTTCAGCGTTGCGACGAAAAACCTATGTCAATTTACTTACCGTGACGGTATAGTAATAACTAATACCATAGCCATCAACAACCTTCTAACAAGCTTGTTATCAGATGGTTGACGTCATCCGCCCGCACGATTCCTTTCTTCTCGCGACAGCGATATAACTCTAGATGCAAATGCAGCCATCTGCAATTTTGCATGCTCTAACAATTTCGCTGCCTGCACATCAGAAGTCACAAAACAACTTGCACGACTTTGTTGTTCTTGTTACATCCATTTCTTCTGTCACACGGAAGATAAATTGCTACTCTTCCAATGATATCAAGGATAATGACTTCGTAGTTTTCTACGAATGAAAAAGTGAAGGTAATAGTTCCAAGATTATTGGCAAGCGTTGATGAAACGAGGACAAAGATAATTTTGTAACGAGTAGTGTACACTATTACCAAGAACATATTTGTTCTAGCTAGCTATTTGCTAAGGTTACCTTCATAATATTACATGCTATACTTAAAATAATTACAATAATTCTATGATCCTACGAAGACTAAATTTATGTGTTTCATGGCTTTTACCTTCGTCTACGTTAAAATATAGATAGGTATGAGTACAATTTTCGGACTTAACCAATCATCCCTAAATCGACTTTACCTTACCTACACTGCGATTGCAAAAACATCGTTCGCTGAAACACAAATATTATGATATGCATAATTTTGCGCGTAGGAACCATGTTATTTATAACTTTAACATTGATTTTGTGAAGCAAAATATGATTAAAGGTTCTACCAGTTACACGAATAATAATTGAAAAGTTTCTTACGTAACGAGAAAGGGTGGAGAGAGTTCCATACGCATTCAGCTAAAATTATAAATTATGTAACATTGGTAGTTAAAAGGAGTGAATGAGATCTCCTTTTTGGGTTTATAAATAAAATCAGAACCTCCATTGAAGAGAGTTGAAATGGGACCCGTTTATCGAGCTGTCGCGTGGGCGAGTGACGTCATTGGCAGACGTAGGTTATGTCTACGTAAAAAGTTCGTGAATCGTGATGTCTCGTCGGAGCTATTGTATTATTCATTAATAATTATTGACGACATTCAATCTATGATACCCTTTTCCAAATAGGTCGGAATTATCCGAAAAAACTCAGCTACTAAAATAAATGAAAGGCAAGCAATAGTAATTTTACAAAAATTTAGCGCAACGATCTAAATAATACAATTTAACTTAAAGATTTGATTTCACCTACAGCAGAACCTGGAATTATGAATTCATATGTAGAGCTAGAGCCTAAGTTCTAAATAAGTAGTTCTCGTAACCAAAGGGATGCGAAATACCTTTGTTTGACGACCTGAAACTCTCATAAGTGGAGCGGCTTGCTAAGGCCATAAACGGTAAAAACCGAACGGCTCTCTTTCCTGTAAGCACTACTGTACTGTACGGCGCTCTTCTAAGCTTTTAGCCCACTCGAAAACTACCCCGCATTCAGCCTGATGCATTACTCAAGAACAATAGGTATTACCGTGAATTTTAAATGTAATGCTTTCAAACAATTTTAAGTAACTTTTAATGTTATTCGAGTTTTTGGTGTTCTTTTTATTGAAATACCAAAAAGCATTTCAGTATCTTTTGACACTAAAATGATTTTCATAACGCTTAGGTCAGTAGCTCTACACTTTAAAACTAGAGATTCTACGAGGATAGAATTTAGACATGACCTCTTACATTAATGTTTTTTTTTCTTGATACAAAATATTGGTATTGATAACACATGCTTAATTCCGAATTTGTTCTTTCCAGGTATCGAATACCTGTATGAAAATGGACTACTACAGAGGACACCAGAGGATGTAGCACAGTTCCTGCACAAAGGCGAGGGTCTCAGCAAAACAGCGATAGGAGACTACCTTGGGGAACGCTCAGAGTTCAATGAGGCGGTGCTCAGAGCGTTCGTGGAGCTGCACGACTTCACGGATCTGATACTAGTCCAGGCTTTAAGGTCAGTTACTTCTTCGCCTTGATGGATGTTCAACGATTTGACGTCTCCCTTGCATTGAGATGCGTTTACCGGACTACTATGCCAGATGGTAGAAGAATTCAGAGAGAATTGTGTGCATGGACTCATTTTTCTTCGTACTGGTCTGCATGTTCTGATTGTATTACATACATCCGTTCTCTGGTACCCGTAATAGGGACTAGATGCCGCACTTTTTATTATATTTTTGTTATATTCGTAATTATTATGCCTCCCTTCACTATTAGGGAGGTTCTCCCACGCTGCGCGATCTCTAATCGAGAACATATCGATTGGCATTTAGTGTTTTCATTCAACTTCAGCTTGATTTTGCATACCTTTCGTTCTTTTACGGATCATGACTTTCTAACGTGCCTCAAGATAAGACTTTGATACTTTGTGAACGGGTTAGTTCATGCGGTATCCTTGTAGTTAGCAAAGATAGGGCGAGGGGCTTAACAAGTCGGGAATAATAGGAGACTTCCTTACCGCGCGGTCTAAGTTCGAAGACAGTCGGTGGGTACATAACTTCATAGAGTACTAAAGCGGGCCAGATTAATTTTGCTAAGTACCTACAAACTTTAAATACAAATATTGCCACAGGTTAATAAACTTCAGTTAATATTATTGCTTGTTAATAAATGATTTACGATACAATTTATTATATCCAGACGTAGCTGTATTACAGCAAGCTATTATCTCAATCGAACGTATCCAATCAAATCAAAACCTGAGCGGTAGTTGCTACCGAATGTGTAAAAAAACAATTACAGCACGAAGTCGACTCAAAGATTTATTGATATTGTTGCATTATTAAATTTAATTGTTTTTTTAAGTGTGCTCTGTACATAAACATCGCCCGTCCATCTTTTTGTTACGAAACAACATCTATTGTAAATAGAGTCATCGCCCCTACATAGCATATTTTTGAAATATGATTTTCCTGTTGGTGCAAACAGTTAATTAACTGAACGAATAATGATTTCCAAATAAAAAGGTTCAAAACAATTCTTGGAAAGTAATTGTGTAGTTAAGGTATCTGTGTACTTGGCAAACAAAGAGTTAATATTTTGGGAGCGAAATCTTACTAATTTCCGTTGCCTTGAGCGCTGAAGTCTGAAACATCGTTATCTCCGTGCGTGTGGTGAAATAACGCCTACCTTGAGAGTTGAGAGCGACATGAGTACAAAGTTGAACATTTGTAAGCAGCGTTGTATTTTATTTGGAAAATATCATTATACTAAATTCACCTATAACTTCTGGAAATATTAAGCAAGAAAACAACGTGTATGTAACTAACCAATAACCATACACCAGTGTAACCGCGCGATTGAAAAATAAAAAAATAAATCGTTTATTTACACGTTAGGCCATTTTTAAATGATATTTACTACGAATCATCGTTAGTTCTGGTGCTACATGTTACTTTTTAATTGGACATTTTATCTATAAACTACGTTGTATAATGGAAACTACTGGACAAAGTAATAGCCGTTGTTGCTGCAATTTCAAACAGTTAATGATGAAGAAAACGGAAACGGGAAGAGTGTTATTTATTTTTATTTTTAAAAATAAGTTGGATACCTAACTACAATATTAGTTTGTCGCATTCGCGGTATTTTAGACATTCATCATCATCATTTCAACCACAGGACGTCCACTGCTGAACAGAGGCCTCCCCCAATGATTTCCAAATGGCCAATTTGGTTGGCAGCGGCCTGCATCCAGCGCTTTCCTACCTTTATAAGGTCATCTGTCCACGTGTCCACCTTGTGAGTGTACGGTAAAAGATGTTCATCATCATCTCGGCCATAGGACGTCCACTGCAATGCTGAACATAGGCCTTGATTGAGAGACATGATTTTCATTGGTAGCGGCCTGCGTCCTTCCTGCTTCCACCTTGTGGGTGAAAGTCCTACACTGCGTTTTCCAGTACGCGATCTCCACTCCAGAACCTTGCTGCCCCATCGGCCGGCATCGGCATAAAACATATTACAGTAGCTTAATCTCTACTCTTTCACATTCCAGACAATTCCTATGGAGCTTCAGATTGCCGGGCGAGGCTCAGAAGATCGACCGTATGATGGAGTGCTTCGCGCAGCGCTACTGCCAGCTCAATCCTGACATCTTCACGAATGCTGACACGTGCTACGTGCTTAGCTTCGCGATCATAATGCTCAACACCTCGCTACACAACCCCAGTGTGAAGGACAAGCCCTCGCCGGAGCAGTTCGTTGCTATGAACCGGGGGATCAATAATGGCGGCGATCTGCCCCAGGAGTTGCTCTTGGTGAGTGGAAGCCTTTAAAACTACCCGCAGAATACAGACTTTAGTCGGCCGATAGTTTAGTACGCTTCTAAATTGTATGAGGACTCGACCAATACTAAATCGGTAGTGTCCACAATTACAAACATACTGTGAGCTGAGTGTGAGTTTACATCAAACGCGCTCACTAGTGAGCGCGTTTAAAAAATGTATGAAAATATCAGTTTTTGAAAGTTTCCCGCTAGGGGCGCTGTACAATCCGTCATACATTTAATGTAATTTTTTGACGCGCTCACTAGTGAGCGCGTTTGAAAAAAAAACTCACGCTAGGCCCTCTGGTCTACAGCTCGTCCCAACGTAGTCTTTAGGGTAATATTCTATTGCTACCATCTGCCTGCAGTGGAGAGACTTGTGTTTTATGTAGCGTTTTGTATGCCTGTATTGAGATCAGGATCAGGACGAGACGCAATGGCTTTTCCATTGTTGTCTAGAACAGCGGTTCCCGAATGGTGGTCCGCGGAACCCTGGGGTTCCGTGGAAAGGCCGCAAGGGTTCCGTAAAAAATATTATCCCACGTTTCGTGACCGACGTTGTTCGCTCGCTCCGACTTGTTTACGCACAAGGGAGGGGCAGGGCGTGCGGGCGGAGTAGTACGGGGGTTTCGCTAGGAAAAGTATAATCAATTAGGGTTCCTTGGCAAAAAAAAATTGGGAAACCCTGGTCTAGAAATTCAACTCAACCTTATTCCAGTTGTAACAAAGACGTGTCACGAACTTTTTGGCTACTTCGGGTGTCACGAACTATTTAACGCTGAATGTGACCATCCCAATAGTCCCAGTCCACCGTAGCCGACTGTACCTAATCATCAAAACAGTAAACTGCGGAAGACATAAACTTATTATAATTTGTCAAGTCTGATACCTACTTGAATAAAACATTTTAATAGAAAGTAAATTACTTATCCTTGTATAATCATATAATTCTATGCAAAATCATTATGTAAATAATAATATCCAAACATTTGGCCAAAACCCAAAATATACAAAGGCATTAATTGATTCGCTGATTAAACTTTACTTAACAAACATGCTCAACGTCAATACGTGATGTTAAATAACAAACTGATATCTGTGCATAAACATTAACACAGTAACGGCTGTCAACAGCTCTTATCAATAACGTGCGGGTTCAGTGATAATAGTTGAGTCCAAGATGACATTAATATGATCTTCAGTCTGAGGAAATTGTTGTTACGACCTACACCATTATTAAGTAACCGCAAATAACTCGCGATTAAAGTAATCTACTGTTAACTGCTTAATTGTTCTCTATCTGTGGTGAAACTTATTACTGAGGATGTTATATTGCCTTGTGTTAATAAACGCTAAAATATAATTGAAAATGTCCGTGTTCGGTTAATAGGTTTGTTGATAATAAATTATGTGGTTTCTCTGATTTATTCGAGGTTGATGGTTCTATGTAAGGGTTTTGGCTTGGTTGTTAGAAATCAAAAGTGTAGATGAATGTGGGAATTATGTATATTTATATTGTTTTTGAAAACAACTAATAAATTACGGATAGTTTATTATTTTTATGATGGCCATTTTATTTTATGTATTATGAAATACGATCATGCCTTTTAATCCCATTCGTCAACATTATGATTGCATTGTCTTTTTACTGCAATGTTTTATGACTATTAATATTTTTTTTAATCCCATCTGTCAACATTACCGTTACATAGTCCTTTTGCTACAATGTTTTATGACTATTGCTAATTGTTTGTGTGGTTATTTCCAGTCATTATACGAGTCTATAAAGACGGAGCCCTTCAAGATACCAGAGGACGACGGCAACGACCTAATGCACACTTTCTTCAACCCGGACAAAGAGGGCTGGCTATGGAAGCAAGGCGGCAGGTATGTTACTGCTGTTTTCTACAGCCCATCAGGCTTCACATTGTGGTTGCAAAATTGTATTACCATTTACCACTACATAAACATGATGGCCTTTAGCTTGTTGCGTCTTTGTCGGTACATAGATAAATATTAGACTGTTTTTGGTAGCCCCTAGCAAGTAGATTATAATGTAGTTCTAGCCCTTAACTCAGTCAGTGCCTGAAGTGTAAAAAGATATACAGGGTGGAAACGATAAGTGATCTCACTCGATTATTTCTAAACTATACAAGATATCAAAGCTGGAAACATTGAATTTTCGGATAGATCCCGTTTATTCTGTAACCTGTTATTAGTACCATTTGAAAGAGCTCATGAAGCACTTTCAGGATCAGTAACCAGTTTTTCTATATCTGGTATAGTTTAGAAATAATCGAGTGAGATCCCTTATCGTTTCCACCCTGTATAGCATTTTGTGATGGTCAATCGTCAGCTGGACTTCAGAGGTGGAATTGTGTAAAGCAATCAATCGTTATCATTTGACGGTTCATAACGTACGATAAAGTCAGTTAAACAAAGCGTTTGACAGAATAATCGTACGGTATGAACTGTCAAATGATGATAGCACATCAGTCATACCACATTTTTGTTGTTACAACTACATTTATACGATGCTGTCGGCCGTCCATACAAGTTTGACTTAGTTTCGTACAAAATGTTGTGTTCATTCAAATTGGTTCAAGGATATGATTTTGATATTTTTTACCACAAAAGTAATATTGACGAACTAAATACTCTAACCAAATGATTTATGTGTGCTTTTTTTATCTTTATTTAACTATCTTGGAGGCTCTGTAAACATTTCATATCAGACCAAACGGAAAAACCAGTAAAGATATTTTTAAATTGTCAAACACAAAATGTGTTTATTTGTGTCAAAGCAAACAATTATTAAATAATAGATGCAGATATGAATTTTTCGCTATATTACGTTAAAAACATTTTGAAAAATCTTATGACTGTAACTGTCTTGAATATTCAAGGCATTTTATTTGCATAAGCAAACAAGTAATATTGAATGTGTTTTTGAAACAATTTATTTACATAAATGTATTGTTATTTTCCAGATACAAGTCATGGAAGAGACGGTGGTTTATACTGAACGACAACTGCCTGTACTACTTCGAATACACAACTGACAAGGAGCCGCGAGGCATCATTCCATTAGAAAACATATCCGTGAGTATTGTTTAATATTATACAAAAATCAACGTGTTAATCTACTACACCAATATTATACAGAGGAAATATTTGATTGTTAGTTAGTATTGGACCGATTTATAAAATTATTTTACCATTGGACTCCTAAATTATCCCTGGTGAACTTATATAGGCTCTAGTAGAATATTTTCAAAAAGGGCGATAAGTAGTTCGCCGGGTCAGCTAGTGATAAATATAAAACAAGTTACTGTTCCCTACATTTTTCCTGTATTTTTGGGATCAAATTCAAAAATCAAAATCAAAAATATTTTTATTGAGCCATCCATTATTCTTACTAACTAATCAACAAAAACATAACTTATCAGTAACTTGTTAACACATAGTTTTACATAAATCAATCCATCAATCATTCCCTCTTACTCAAATCTTAAGCTATTGATAAAATATCTGAAAATATAGAAACTGCGATTATCTTGCAATCGCTAGTTAACAAATTGTATTAGAAGTAAACAATTAGTAGTAATTTGGGTTATGATATGTTACGCGATCGGCTAACAATTTTACTGAACTGTGAGAAATCGAAAATGTAGCTAATGGCCAATTTAAGATTCATAATAGTTATGTTATTTTAAGATTCATGATAGTTATTTTAACATTTCTCTTAAAAGTGTTTCGTATTCAATTTCTCCAATGTCTGTGATGCAACATAATAGCGTTCTTTGAATTCCTATATGAATATATTTCTATGATATAATACAAACGTTTCTTTAGATAAATCGCCCACTCAACTCAACTCAAGGGTACACTCATTTGGTCGAAATTTTTCGTAAAATCAGTTCGTCTAACTGCAGCAGTGAGTGAACTAACTGATGCGTGATCGAATCAGAAATGAGGAGATCCGTAGGAGAACCAGAGTGACTGACATAGCCCGCAGAATCGCTAAAATCAAGTGGCAGTGTTCGGGGCACATAGCTCGAAGAGCTGATGGCCGCTGGGGCAGGAAAGTTCTTGAGTGGCGACCACGAGCTGGAAGACGTAGCGTGGGCAGGCCTCCCACTAGGTGGACCGACGATCTGGTGAAGGTCGCGGGAAGTACCTGGATGCAAGCGGCGCAGGACCGGTCTTTGTGGAAATCCTTGGGGGAGGCCTTTGTCCAGCAGTGGACGTCTTTCGGCTGAAACGAACTAACTGCAGCAGTCTAAAGGTGGCAGTTTGCGTCGCGACAGAGACAAGAGAAGACCACGATTACTTGACTTTAGGGAATGTATAAGCATCAGAGGGCTTAGTTTGAGTTTACATCAAATGTCGTCACTAGTAAGCGCGTAAAAAAATTATATCATTTTTTACGCGCTCACTAGTGACGGTATACGATATGTATGACGGATTGTACAGCGCCTCTAGCGGAAACTTTCAAGAACTAAAATTTTCATATTTTTTTTAACCCGCTCACTAGTGAGGACGTTTGATCTAAACTCACACTCAGCCCTCAGTTCGCCAGCAAGACAGAGACCTAACTCAAGTAATGGTCGTCTATCTCTTTCCCGAGGCGAACGGCAAATTTTACCGCTAATATTGTCGAAACTGCTTGCTTACAAGTCGCTCTAAATATCGTACGCCTAAACAACCTTTATGAGTATAAGAATAGGATCTAAAGTCCCTCACTTGTTTATCCTCACGCCTAAACAACCTTTATGAGTATTGGAATAGGATCTAAAATTGTTTGCTCGTTTATCCTCAGGTGCGGTGCGCGCACGACCGCCAGAGGCCGCATTGCTTGGAGTTGTATGCGAGCGGCGGCGCCGACCTCATCAAGGCGTGCAAGACCGACTCCGAAGGCAAGGTCGTGGAGGGCAAGCACACCGTCTACAGGTAACCACCACAAACTTAACAACTACACGTACTTTATGTTCAAAAACTAATAAGGCTGAGTTGCACCACCTTACTTCAATCGTAACGATAACGATAACCGGTGTTTTTGTATGGAGTTTGACAGATTTTTGACGATTGTTATAGTTAAAGTAATTTAAAATAAACAAAATCTTGCAAGCACCAACTCTGGAAAATAAAACCCGCAGCAAGGTTTTGAAGGGGAAGCCGAAAAAGACTTGTTTTTGTGACGTCAAACATCAGCGAGACTTCATATGTGCTTTAGACTTGTAAGCTTTGTCATGTCATATGTCATTCCCTCACTTGTACCGCTGGCCCTAAGAGCTTTCTGTTTACCCTATTCTGTACTCATATAAATAAATATCAAATAATGTAAACACAGAATGTTCACAGGCTCACTAGCGCCACCATCTTTGCAAACAAAGCATGTTTGCTTTTTGCCATTAGGAATGGTCAATCTCTAATACTTAGCTTTGCTACTAGAGAGCAGCATTAGTGAATTATAAGATTTAACTCCTGATTCCACGTTATATTAGAGCTGAATCTTGGTTCAGTTATGTAAAGACGGTTATTATGAGCATAATCATGGAACTACTTTATCATAGATCTGACCAAAAGCAACTTTGTGAATCAAACTGAAAAAACTTCTAAAACAACATAATAATATTAACCGCAACAATCTATTTCAGAATGTCAGCGTCAACGGCGGAGGAGCGAGACGAATGGATCGAGTGTCTGCGACGTTCCATCAGCCACAATCCCTTCTACGATATGCTCGCGCAGCGCAAGAAGAAAGCGCAGCATAACGCGCACTCTGGCGCACACTAGCTCTCGTGATAGTGTGCTAGTGTGAATAGTGAGCCCACGGAACGCTGCCAGCCTATGCTCGCAAAGCTACCTCACTTCTGAAGCTCTAAAGCCCGTTTTCACCATCAAACCCTAATTTTTAAGTGACCCCTATGGTAACATAATAACAAGCATTTTGTTTTCATAGGGGTCATTTAAAAATTAGGGATTGATGGTGAAAATGGGCATAAAGCTCTCAAACCACCTCGACGGTAGTTCGACAATGGCGACAGTATACACGTTGACGAGCCATTGAGAACACGCTGTCCGGTACAGCCGTCTAAACAGTGATTCGAGTGACGTATCTGTGTAGTTACATAGGCTGGGACTATGGACATATTTGTTCGGTTGCGTAAGCGTTGAATCGTTCAAACTGACAATTGCGTAAACACGAAGTACCTTGCGGTATGAATCATTGATATTTTCGATTCTAGTCGTGATCATCTAGAAGAATCGAAAGGTTGTAGCCGTCTTATGGAATGAATGCAAGAATTTTCCATTGTGGTCCGATGAATACGTTTGCGATCGATGTACATCTACAAGGAAAATTACTACTTAGATATTTATTGCAGAATTGAGGTGCTGATTAAAACGCATTCACTCATTTCGATTTGATAAAATGCAATGCCGTCCTTTTCACATCTTTCTAAACTTTCAAGTAGACAGCTCGCCTATTTGAGCTATCAAGCAAGAAGTTTAGGGAATGTATTTCACGATCAGCCCCAAGTATGTATAAACTAAGGTTGCACACCCATTATGCTCGCCAGAAATGATTCAAATGATAAACAAACCTCATGTTAATGTGTTTGCTACCTTAGTCTATAATACTTTTAGAAAATCTTTATAGGATACGCCTAATACCACCGAGGCCTAAAGTGATAGATATCGTTTTGATGACACCTAAAACAATGTTTTGATCAATTTACATACAAGCCTAGGGCTTATCTGATTAGATAACGCTGTAATCATGCCCAGGCAAATTGAAAAACGGCGTTCATCACAGATTATACCATTCGAAAATGATTTGACATCAGTGATTAGTAGTCAGGTTTCATGATAATGTGATATTGAGGGTCATGAGAGCATGTGGTAGAAATAGACTAGCGTTAGTGCATCGTGCATATCATACGCAGCGCTCGTCGGAGCAGCTTCATGGCTGAACGTTATTGCTGTCCATGTAAATAACGAATGAAAGACTGAAACGATATAAGGCATCTTAAAACATTGATTTATCAACCTAACGCTAACTTATGTAGGTGTGTGTACTGCCAATATGATTATTGAAAATGTGAAGTAATTTTTAATTTAATTGAAATATTATTTAATGCTTCCGCTCGTTGCCTTGACAATAATACGTTACTTGGCATTACTAGCCGACACGTGTGAATGTGTCGATGGGTTTTTGTATTCAATGAAAGTATTACTTTATCGGTATATGTAATGTGAATGAATTATTACAGAATAGTGTAAAAAATATGTATAGATTAGTATAATCTAGTGTAAAGTAATTGCCATCGCTTTAATCTTATGAAGATGTAAATATGGTTTAATTTACCTGAATTATATAAAGTAAACAGTTTTCGTTTCCTAGAAGAATTTTAGATAACATTCCTGTTTTCCAATAGTGATTTATATTTATTCCTCTCTAATTCTATCTGAGCCTTCATTTTCCAGTAATGTAAAGTGTATTTCTTTATATTTGTATATATTGTCGTCTCTCTTTCTATAAGATTATAGAAAATATTACTGTTTTACCGATTGTCTATGTTTACGTTTTGTATGTTCAAGCGTTTTAAATATTAATGTATTGAATTTGTCGGCTTGTTGAATTGTTCAATGTTCGTTCATGTTTTGTGGTATGCTTAAAGTTAGTGCAAGTTCTGTCACAATGAAGTAAAGAGGATATCGAATGAGCCATATTTGAGTAGCACGGTATTTGGTTGATGTTGAATTGCTAATATTATGTTTTGTTGGGAGAATGGTGCCTAAAATCAATCGATCTGTAACTAGAGTAATTATTAGAGTTAGTATCGTTAACAAACGCGCTGTATATTCGCCACAGAAAATGTTAATTTATCTCAATCGTAATGTTTTATATGACAACTGATATTGCATAATAATAATGGTGTTGTAAATAATTTTGTAAGAAAAGGAATATACATAAATATCTTTATTTAATCACTCGTTTTTTTTACCCTCCTTTTCAGGTTTTAGGTTATCTTAAGCCCGTTTTCACCATCAATCCCTAATTTTTAAATGACCCCTATGGTGACACATGACAGGAATTTTGTTTTCATAGGGGTCACTATGGTGAAAATGGGCATTAGTCTGGTCATCGGCGAAACTAAACGCGGATCATTCCTGAAACGTTACTAAAGGCTTGCAGAGATTTACGAATTCTCACAAATACACTCCAATTTTTTTTTGGGATGGACTGGGACAGCATCAAGAATACATTCCAAAAAACTCGAAATATTTTTGCAACGTATATCGCTAGATACTTCTCAGATAGTGTCACTGGTCGGGATGCCTGCTTTCCTTGGGGCCGCAAATTTTTTCAGTGTTTTAAGGGCTATTCACCGGGACACCATGGCGGCGCAACCAGTCGCCGGCTACCAACAAAATGTATACAGCTTTGCGCAACCAAACGGACACCAGGTGAGTAACTCTATAGAGCTGTATACATTTTGTTGGTAGCCGGCGGCTGGTTGCGCCGCCATGGTGTCCCGGTGAAATATAGCCCTAAGTCAGTATGTCAACCTACTTCCAAGTTATTGCTCGAGTGTGACTAACCGACCATTTTTAAATCTATTCATTCAGCAAACAATCTACAAATGATTATAGAGCATCGTGTTACCTAAAGAACTAGTTACTTCATATGTTTTACCGAACACTTGTTTAGTGCGCCGGAGCGTGACGCGACCGAATCAACTTCCTTTTCCGATGTTGGTGAAACGTTCAGTTGCGCAAATTATAGTACTGAAATTATAAATCGAGTTGGACCATAGCCTTGTCCGAATGCATCGATTGTCGTTTAGTAGAGCATACCTATTATCTAGGTACCTACCTGTTTAGGGTCTTGTATAAATTACTTTTTTAGATATGATTACCTAGGTACATAATAAAATTGATGGTTAATTAAGCAAAAGGTTGAAAAATTTTCACATTTTTCATTGGGATTTTTCTTTCTCTCCGTCTTTAGTATCGGATTAATGTAAGTTTAAAATAAGTGAAGAATCTGTGGGTAGTTGTCTGTTTTTGCTCTCATTCAGTTGCTGTCCTTTTTTTATCATAAAACCACTCTTTTTAGACCTGATTCAAAAACGATCTTACCTTATAGGTACACTCCAAGGAAGAAGACGAGTCAAGCCTGTTGATCTCATACTCATACATATCAATACTGAAATTCATTCAAGAAAAATATCGAGGAAAGTCTGGCGTTAAATAAAAGATCGAAGTAAGTACAGTCACTTTCACAACACAATAAAAATATGATAACGGCATTATCGTCTGCATAGATACTCTATTTGTGTCTTCATGCTTTCTACTATTCACCAATTTTTCCGCTTCAATTTTACTGGAATGTGTTACCGGTTTGGTGATAGTATTTCACTCAAATTTCATTTATCTCTATCAGTTAGTACTCATCATTATAACTATCCTTAACAAACAACTCTAATTACTTATTTATTGTGTTAAATTCGTCTGGTCAGTGTCCGTAGGTAGGTAGGTACCTACCATATTAACAGAATCACATCAATTTGTGACCAGCAATTCAGATTTGCGTTGGTCACGTTTTCGAACGTGCGGTAAAATGGATCGTGTTTTTTGACTTTGTTGACTGCCACCACCTCACGTGATATGGCGATGTAGTAGTAGTCATTTTGTGGCATGAGCATGACTGACAAAAAACAGCACGCGATGACACTGAATCTCTGCATGTGTACTGCATTTATCGACGATTTTATTGCTATTGGTACGGTTAGTTTTAAAAGTAGATGGCCTGTTTTATTTATAGAGTCACATCAGCCAAGCCCTAGAAACCATGGACATGTAACACATTTTCTATGTTACAAACACGTGAAACTAATTTCCTGCATTATGTTATGTTATTAATAATAATTTAATAGGTACTCGTAATTTCAATGTTCACTTCCGGAAAACTAAGTTTTCAGTCGTTACCAATTTATTTTAAATGGAATTGGTGTTGGTAAATAAACGTAACAAATACAATAACTACACTCAACTACGTTTACAAATAAGTAGTAAAATATGTATTTATGACGTAGACAGAAACGCACGAGACCACACTTTCTTGTTAAACTGTCGTGATCGTAAATGTTTCCTGAACAATAGCCCTATTAATGGTATCGAGCTATTTCCCACAGATCAACGCTCTAATTTAATGCTCGTATTATCATCATTGGCCCGTGATGGCCACTGAAAATACATGTAGGAAGTACACTACATAGTAGACAGCTGAAAAGAATCCCAGGTGTAATAATCCTAGATTATAAAGCTCAGAGATATAAGCGCTCCTAAGATGAAACAGCTTTATCCCTGAAGAAGATACACCGACCTAGTGTGGAAAACTTATCCTTATCTCTAACTAGACCTAGCTCAGTCCTGACCTTAGTCTACCATTAAGTATTTTCACAATCTGTAATCTGGTCCCTGGGACCAATCTCGGTTAGAACGACTATCCCTCTAATCCTTATTATTATTTATCCCTTAAATCCCCTTACTTTATCTCGACAATATCAACCTTGTTCATGAAAATTCACTTTGCTTGTGTTAATTAAATGAACCAGAAACTGAAATACTAAAACTGATTGCATTATCACTTATCAGGTGAAATTGATGGGTGTTATAATAGTGATAAACCCGCGGTGTAATCTTCTCGAATGCATGTTCGCGAAGGTTACCTACATTATAACTTATCAGGGACAAGTGTTGCGGACCGGTTAGACGGCTCATCGTAACTGTAGGTTTAGGTTAAAACCTGCGAGTTTTACTAATCGTTGCGATAAGGTATACTTATTTACCTAACTACTAAGCTAAGTGAACTGCTAGGGCCAAGTTCGTATAGGAGCTTACAGCAAACGTGAAAGTTTAGAACTGCAGTTTCAGCAAGATAATAATTTTAAAAGTGTTACGATGCAGAATTTCAAACATAGTTTTTATTTATTCCCTGTTAAATTATTAGTTAACAATATTTTACAATGAATGTATTGGGCAGCCAGTCAAACATTAGCAAGCAGATATATTGCTGATGGTTTTGGCATGAGATTATTATTTCAGCGTAGACAAGCAAATCCACACTGAGCCGTTGAATCAGCACCGCTATTTCAGTACTTGCATTAGAATTTTTGAATTTAAAGGCTCTAACTAATCTCAAACTTTTTTAAAACTTGAGACAGGTATCAGGTGCGAATTGAATCTACGATACGCTTTTCTTCTATCTACTTATTACCGCTCGGATACATTACCACACGTTTGATAATATCCGGGTAAGTGCTCATACATAATATTGTGTATTCATGTATTCGAATGTAAACAAAACACTTTTTTCAGTGGATTTAAATTAGCACGAATTAGTAGGTAATATCGAGTGAAACTCGTTTACTTGTGTGAGGTAGGTGATAATGTGGAAATTGTACTTGAAGCTACCTGAGTAACCTTGTAAAGCAATTAATCCATCAAGGCTCTAGCACTAATAAAATGGCTCTTGCATTTGAGTATAAGAAAGTTAGTAATTGCATTATATGAATGTAATATTTTAAACCGTATCGTATTAATAAACGCATAAGCAGCTTAATTGAAAATTACGTTAAGTAGATAGAAATAATTAGGTATACCTGTGAAAATATCTTCGTATACCTAATCACATTTTTCTTATTTAAATTATCCTCTAACTATGGTGTATTTTCCTTGTGGTATTTCCCAGTTTCATCAAGGCAGTCTTATTAATTAAGTTTGTTGATTTTCAGATAATGCGATTCCCTGGAGGAAACGTCATGTTTCGGGTCTGAATGAGACACGTGTCATCGGGTGCGTATGCGGCGTATAAAATCTGACTTGTGACATAAGTAGGTATCTAATTAATTATGTCAGCGCATGTACACGACTACAGACAGGGGATGCACCCGACAGAAAGACGTCACGATTAAAGTTATTGATATACAAGGCTCTATCAGTTGGACCTCACACCGTCATGATCATTGTGACCAAAAATATTCTGATATTTAAAATGGTCACTTTACATAAGTATTTTAAGATGTATTATTATACACTAGGATACAGGTGTTAGATAAAACAATAAATTCATTTTAGGGGTAATAGAAAATTTCCATTGCAAATAGGTTCCTTTCAAAGTGCGAATAATATTCCAAGTAATATACTTATCTACATACATACCGAGAAAATGGTTAAAATGATAAATATATAAACAGCTTTTAAGTAATAATACTAAAAAATAGGTGACAAACACTCTTTAGTTGTGATGTTTTATCATTTTAAGTGCCTGTTCTCTACATCCTTTCCCCAATATGAAATCAAATAAGAAAATATTTGCAATGATTAAATTATGAACTTTGCAATCAAGTTCATATTATCTTTTTTCATTAGCAGCTTATCTATTCGTACTGTTTTGATAATTGTTTGATGGGATTCAAGGCCTGCCATCAGAGCGGGCCTAATTTAATGAGTTTGATTAATTGGTGTTTTCCGTTTACGGCGACTCTACAATTCTGTTAATGTAGGGTGTGCCACTGAACTAGTGCAACTAGTGATTACACAACGAAAAGATGATATGGCACATCCAGACAAACACTGTCATTTTTTACAGCTGTAATTAGGCGTTATTTTGTAATGAAAATGTAGTCTTGACTGCAGATTGCAGCAAAAGCACCTTAATGAAAAAGGGCTACTATAAAGTTGATGATTATAATATAAAAGATAAAAATGTTGGAATGTTTAACTACCTAGCTCGCATCAATACTTATGACTAAAATTTGTATATTTTAAAGACTGTAAAACCTTGAAAAGGAGGCTGACAATAGTGACTGAGTTTCTTGCGCTGCTTCTTCTCAGCACTGGCCCATTTATTGTCC